AAGCATCCAATATTCCTAATGAAATATTCAATGAAAGCGCACAGCATTAATTATGAAAGAGGCAATGAATACACCTGACCTAGGGAATGAGATATTTATTGAAATTGCTCAACATTAATTATGAAAAGTCCAATGAAAGCATCCAATATTCCTAATGAAATATTCAATGAAAGCACACAGCATTAGTTATGAAAGAGGCAATGAATACACCTGACCTAAGGAATGAGATATTTATTGAAATTGCACAACATTAATTATGAAAAGTACAATGAAAGCATCCAATATTCCTAATGAAATATTCAATGAAAGCGCACAGCATTAATTGTGAAAGAGGCAATGAATACACCTAACATAGTCAATGAAATATTTATTGAAATCACACAGGATTGATTATGAAAAAAGCAATGAAAGCACCCAAAATTCCTAATGAAATATTCAATGAAAGCGCACAGCATTAATTATGAAAAAGGCAATGAATACACCTAACCCAGTGAATGAAATACCTATTGAAAGCGCACAGGTTTACTTATGAAAAGTACAATGAAAGAACTGAACAGCTTCAATGAAAAATTCATAGAAAGTGCATGATAATAATTATGAAAGCTCCTAAGAAATGTTATGAAAGGGTCCTGTGGTCTTTGCCTACATTTTATGAAAAGAACATAGCCTTTATGAGAAAGAATGACACAGGACAAACCTATGAAAGGCCTTTCATAAAACTTGTGGACTTATACACACAGCTCTACAGGCAAGTGCCTTAGTTTTATGATAAAGATGGTAGCCACTTGTGCAAAGCGTCCGTTTTGCGACCGAACCTCCCATTCCCAACTCCATTTCAGTATTACTGTCTAGAAGACACCCTGTATCCCGACTACCAGGATTAGGAAGAGTCAGCGTGTCTGCTGTAGGAGCTCCTTCAGAAAGGACTACCACTACCAATAATGGTCCTGAGACAGTAAATTCAGGACTCAACAACAACGAAACAAGGGTGCCTGCAGTGTCAAACATGCACATACCAAGCCCTAAGTTGTGGACCAGCTATGTCTTCCGTAGCAGAAATGATCAGAATAGCTCTAGACCCGTCGAACAGACCAACGGCGACCGGGGACAAGGAAGAACCCCTGCACGTAATAACGAAGGACCCCCATCAGGAGGATCCACCTCATCTGGTAACGATAATGACCTGGATCGAAGGGGTAACCCTCCTCAGAGCAACCCCCCTCCCAGTAATTGGTATGTTCCTCCTCGAGGCAACGAAGGAGGAGGAGGAGGCGAACCTGGGGGCGGCGGAGGTGGCGGCGGAGGTGGGAACGGTAACCATAATAATCCCGATCCTCAAGATCCCAACTATCCTCCATGGTGGCGAACTCCCGAAGAATGGCAAATCAATCGCAAACTGAATGCCAACGTCCTGCCTGAGTGGGATGGTGCCGGGGAGACTGCCATAGATTATTTGAGCAGAATGGGTTTCTTAGCTGCTCTGAGTTCTAAAATGAAGGAAGGCATAGCCCAACTAGCCCCTTTCAAGTGGACCTCCTACGCCTTAAGTTGGTGGGAGACTCTACCAACCCCCGACAGGACCTATTTCCAGTACTTTACCCTCCCCCATGAGTTCCGGCGGACTCCAGTGGACTCCCATAGAATGTCGGAATTCCATCCGGAGTCCACCGGAATGGTAGGAATCTCAAATTCCAGTGGATTCTGCCGGATTCTGAATGGAATTCCAATGGATTCCATTGGATTCTGAATGGAATTCCAATGGATTCCATTGGATTCTGAATGGAATTCCAATGGATTCCATTGGATTCTGAATGGAATTCCAATGGATTCCATTGGATTCTGAATGGAATTCCAATGGATTCTGCCGGATTCTGAATGGAATTCCAATGGATTCCACTGGATTCTGAATGGAATTCCAATGGATTCTGCCGGAATCTGAATGGAATTCCAGTGGATTCTGCTGGACTCTGAATAGGTCTTCAGTACTTTAC